AAAAAAAAAAAAAAGGTAAGCAGGTGATGTACTTTATCATTGTTAACAGAACATGTGGTCACAAGGATAGCAATCTAGAAATGTCACAGGCTAAGCCATAAATCTTTATCTGAGTATAGGAATGTCATCTGGTCCTCAAAAGGCTATACTTAACTTGGTAAACAGAGTCATAAAACCCACTCCTCAACAGGAACCAAAAGAGCACACACATCCATTACCCAGGGTCACTGTAGTCAGAAATAGAGGCTGACGTTATTCTTATTCTCTCCGTTCCTACTTCCCCATAGCTCAACTGCCTCCAGCAGGAAACTGTGTCTGCGATCAAGCTCACGCACAGTGAGGCCCAACACTGGGGGGGCTTCACACGGGAGCATTCCCCACAATTTTGGGTTCAGCTTGTTCCTTAACTGAAGGTCCCTGTTCTCTCAAGATGTCTTGCTCTACAAGACTCTCCCATTCTGGATTCTAGTAACCTCTTTCTTCTCATCCACTTGGGCCCAGGGAAGGTATTAATGCTTTTGCTGCTAGCCCTAGGTTTCTGAACCATCCCATAGGGTTTTCTGTCCCTGTGCATAACTGTGCCTGTTATAAACAAACCCTCTTTGAATTACTCTAATTTGAATATAACAGTTGTTTTCTTTAGGGATCTTGAATGATACACAATTCTATGAGATAACTCATACCATTATTTAGTAGAAGAAGTAACTTGAGACATAGAGAGGGTAAACATTTCAAGATAATTTTATATGGAACAGTACAACCTAGTCATAAATACAGTTTTCATTTCCAGATAAAGAGTAAAGTAAAACAGCTTTCCAGTAATTCATTAAGCTTTAGTTTCTCTGAGTGGAATCTTAGATGAAATAGGCCAGAGAGGAATGTGTTCCATTTCCTCTTGGTGCAGAGTCAGGAAAAGATAGACTGTAGGGGAGTTCTAGAAAAGCATTTAGCCCTGGATGCTGATAGGATTGATGTGGTTGTCTCCTCCATTCTATTCAGGTGATGCCCCGAGACCCAACCCAAACTTTCAACTCTTCCTTAGCAAGAACCCGGGAGTAGGCAGGTTGTGTTCCAGGAGGAGTCATTAATATGGGAAATATTCCAAGAGGGAGAATTCCCTGACATTGTTTGGCCCTGGGACCAAGGTGGGATATGGGTAGTGGGACACTAATGTCATTTCCTTATTTGAACACTGAATGCAACTCATCGAACCCTTTCTTCTTAAACTTCCTCATGTTGATTTAGTATGACTATGTAGATGGGTTAAGGAAAATTAAAACGGATTGTCTTTAATTTAGGAACTACCAGTATCAACTCCATTTGTCCTATTCCACTCTCCCTCTCAGCATAAGCCCTTTGCTTTGGTTAACTGTGTTCCTTTTCTATTCCCCAAATAGGTACTAGGTATTCTGCTCCTTCCATAGGCAAGCATCTCTTCTTTGCAGTTCACTTCTTTCAAGAAGTCTTTCTAAATTTCATCAGTCTTTCATCCCATCTTCCTGTAGCATGTTGTTTCTAGCTCTAAACTGGTCTCCATGTAATCAGTCGTCCAAACTAACTGACATTCCATCCCCTCTGTAAAACTTTCGGATTGAATCTTCCAACATGCTGCAGCTGGTAGGCTTCTCTCTAGTGAATTTGGGTTTATCTTTTACCTGCTGAGTTGTATGCTTATCAAAGTTTGTTCCTAAATCTCTTTATACCTGTACTCATTCTTATAATTTGCAATTTAATTAAATATGTAAATAGATGAAGTGGACTGGAGTTACCTTTGAAAATTTAGTTGAATGCTTTGGAAAAATTCAGTAAGGCAGATCTCTTAAAAAATGCTAATAAATTTTGCATGAGGCCAGGCACAGTGACTCATACCTGTAGTTGTAGCTACTTGGGAGGCTGAGGTGGGAGGATTGCTTGAGTTCAAGGGCACAGTGAACCATGATCATACCATTGCACTCCAGCATGGACAATAGAGTGAGACTTTGTCTCTAAAAAATAAAAATGAAAAAATGAAAAATAAATTTTATGTGGGTAAATTTCTGTAAAATATGAGAAAAAAATATAAAAACCTGGGCAGAGTCTGTACTAGAATGCTACACACCTGTATTCATGTCCTCAGTCCACTTTCAAGGCTGTGATCATGGAGTGTGCTTTATGGGTGGGGTTCACATTGCTCCAATGAGCGGGCCCATGCTTCAAGAGAAGAGTTTGTGTGCTGACATCAGAATACCAGCACACATTGTATATTTATATGCTATAAGTAAAAATAAAAATGCAAGATATATATATATATATATATATATATATATATATATAGCATTTTTGTGATTCCTTGCTTACTCAACTTGTTTTTGATTAACCAACTAACTAGTAGTTCCAATTTTAAAAGGTAAAAACTCTTCTTCTGTAACTGTAGTGTGGCTTATACACTGTTATTATCATACATTTATCTTCAGTACTAGATTGTGAATTTTCAGAAGGCAATATTTTGCCTTTTATATCCTAATTTTTCCTGCACGGTACCTAGCACAGTGCTTTGCATTTATTCACTTACCAAATATTGATTGACTAATTTATATTTCTGAGGCACATGCATTAGAGATAAACATATAAATGACACATCCCTTTCAGGTGATTTACAGCAATAAAATCAAGTGTTACAAAAGAACCCCAAATGCTAAGGTATTGGAGTGTGTAGATGTTATGGCCATGCAGAGAATTGGCAAAGCTGACCAGAGAAAGTTTCACAGACCGAATAGCTCTTGAACTAGGCTTTGAAAATCAAGTAGGATTTTGCTATGTAAAGAGAAGGTGAGAGAAAAAGAGAACAACGTAAAGAAAAAAAATTTTTTTAAGACAAAGAAGTCATAGTGCATTCAGTGAGTTGCAAAATGTTTTCTGTAACCAGGGCATAAGATGCCAGGGCGTTTAGATTTTCTTTTCAGAGCCATAGGAGCCATTCACTTATACTAGGTATTTAATACATGAATGAACTATCAGTAAACTTTCTATTGTAAAAGAAGAATAATTTTAATACAAGGCTGATCTCTGCTATATATAAACCAGATAAATGCTATTCATTTGTTTGTACTTTTCTTTCAGACTCAGTCTTCACCACTCCTACTGGCCACACACACAACTCTTCATCTCAGTCTGTGTTGAGGTTTCAGTAATAGACTGCTGAACCAGGCTACCTAGAACTGAGTGTTGAACTGTGTAATACCTGCTTCTTTTGCTTTCTCTAGGAGTACATGTGCATGATGGGACTGGAAAGCTGGTTACACTGGTTTGCTTGGTTCATCACATTCTTCATTTCTGTCTTCATTGCAGTTTCTTTCATGACCATTCTCTTCTGCACAGAGGTACATGTCTCTTGTCCTTCAAGATATGCTTAGCTATGAATATGTAGGAAAGAAATTTAGTGTTTTGTGGGTGGTAGTGCTGGAATTCAATATATGCTGGAAACACCATTCTTTTTTTTTTTTTTTTTTTTGAGACAAAGTCTCAGAAGTCTCACCTGTCACCCAGGCTGGAATGCAGTGGCACAATCTCGGCTCACTGCAACCTCCCAGGTTCAAGCGATTCTCCTGTCTCAGCCTCCCAAGTAGCTAGGATTACAGGCATGCACCACCATGCCCAGATAATTTTTGTATTTTTCGTAGAGACGGAGTTTCACCATGTTGGCCAGGCTGGTCTTGAGCTCCTGACCTCAAGAGATCCAACCGCCTTGGCCTCCCAAGGTGCTGGGATTGCAGGCATGAGCCACTGTGCCCAGCCGGACACACCATTCTTGATGACCACATGGAAAACTTCAGGTTGTATGTGGTGGTATTCTCTGGAACTTGGGGGATTTAAACATTTAGGATCTTTAAGATCAGGGAGAGCTTTGTCCTCCTTTCAGTTACCTCACCTTCAAGTACTGGAGATGGGTGTGATTAATTTCTTTAATAGACTGGAATGCCAAAAATCTACTTTATAAACTTTAAAACATAAATTTTATACTTTACAAATAGTTGAAAATAGTTATTATAAAAGATAACATTATTTAATGTCTATGATATCTTGTAATTTTTTTCTTTTATGTTATCAATGAAATTTGGTGTTAAATTTGCCAACTTGCATTTAGTGACTAAATTAAAACCCATTATTTGGACATATGAATATTTACCTTCTAAATTATCAAAACTGGGGCAGGTTGAACAGAAGAAGACAAAGAAATCCAGACTAGTCAGAAAAATATATGAAACAAATGAAATGACTGGAAACATTAAAAAAGAAGATTTAAGATATTAAAAAGAAGAGCAGAATTATCTGTAATAGTGATCATGACAAATGAGAAAAACTCACTTTTTAAAAGAAAAAACTTGTCAGGCCATGGTTGCTTTTTAAAAAAATGATAAAAGTTCACATTGGATGAAAAATTAAATCCAAACTTACGCTTTCCAGAAAAGGATACATGTACGGAACATAATTTGTAAATGGTAATGGATCTGGGAGCAAAGGTCCTGCATTTAAAAACTATATATATGTGTGTTTAAGATCATCTCAAATTTTAAAAACAGTTTCTACATTGTTTTAATGGAAGATTTACTTTCTTCTTATTTAGTTCATGTACAAATTATCTATATGATTGTTTTATAGGTGAAAAATGTGGCAGTGTTCAAGAATAGTGACCCTAGTCTGATATTTGTTTTTCTAATGTGTTTTGCCATTGCCACAATTTTCTTTGCATTCATGATCAGCACATTCTTCCAAAGAGGTGAGTCCTGATACAATTTTCTGTCAAGGGGCGTTTATGACTACTTCTTCCAGTAGCATTGCTATTTCCATTATCTACAGCCTTCATTATTATTTTTTGAGAGCTGTGTTTTCACTTTTATGGTTATTTTAGCAATGGAAGACTTCCATTCTCCACTTCCATTGAGATGTTGAAACATCTCAATATGTGTCTGTTTTTGTGTTTAATTTGGCTCCTTAATATAATTTCAAATGGAGGCAGTTAATCTCGAATTGGAAGGGAATGAAAGGGTAAGACATCCAAGGCATATAACTTCTGAGGCCTTGATTATGAAGTTGAGGCACAACAGTAAAATGGTTTCTAAGATACCACAGTAAGAGAGGAGTTCCTGGAATTTTTTTTTTTTTTTTTTTTTTTTTTTTTTTGAGTCTCACACTGTTGCCCAGGCTGTAGTACAGTGGATCAATCTTGGCTCACTGCAATTTCCACCTCCTGGGTTCAAGCAATTCTCCTGCCTCAGCCTCCCAAGTAGCTGGGACTACAGGCATGCACTACCATGCCCAGCTAATTTTTTTGTATTTTTAGTAGAGACAGGGTTTTACCATGTTGGCCAGGATGGTCTCGATCTCATGATCTTGTGATCCACCCGCCTTGGCCTCCCAAAGTGCTGGGATTATAGGCATGAGCCACCACGCCTGACTGATTTTTTTTTTTTTTTTTTTTTTTGGTCAGGCGAGGGTGTTACCACTAAAACTATTGGTAGAATTGATAAATTACAAAGGACAAAAATAACAGGAAGTAGAGTCAAAGTAATAGTGCAGGAGAATGAGTTTGTGGGTCAACATGGAAAGGTATAGGTGGAAACAATGAAGGACAGGCCCAGCAGTTGGTAACATAAAAAAGGGGGTTCAAGAGAACTGTGACAAAAATCAAAGTGTGGTATAAATGAAGTCAAACAGCTTATTATTTACATTTTTGCATTTTTTGCATCAAATGGCATGTCTATTATGTGGACCCTGACAAACTGTGACTCTACCAAGGTAAGGATGGTTTCTTAGAGAGGTCAGATGGGCCTGAACACTATCTCCTGATTCAAACTCTATACAATTTCCTACATTCACTTCCATAGCTTTAGGGTTAGCATGGCAGGGGTGATGGTCAAGTAAGAAAGCTGTGTGCGGAGTTTGGAGCATAAATCTCAAAAGATTTCCACAACCTAAGGCTTAACGTGCTAAAAGTTGAAACCTAAAAAAATTAAACTTGTATCAAGAGGAGGGGAGGGGAGGGGAGGAGAGGGGAGAGGAGGGGACTGGAGGAGAGGGAAGGGGAGGGGAGGGGAGGGGAGGTTAGACACGGTGGCTTACACCTGTAATCCCAGCACTTTGGGAGGCCAGGGCAGGTGGATCATTTGAGATCAGGAGTTTGAGACCAGCCTAGCCAACATGGTGAAACCTCGTCTCTACTAAAAATACAAAAATTAGCCAGGTCTGTGGTGGTGCATGCCTGGAATCCCAGCTACTTAGGAGGCTGAGGCAGGAGAATCGCTTGAACCCGGGAGGCAGAGGTTGCAGTGAGCCGAGAAGGTGCCATTGCACTCCAGCCTGAGCACAGAGCGAGACTAAAACAATAACAATAAAGAAACAACAAAAACTCTTATCAAATACAAGAAGTAGGAGAAATAATCAGAGGGCTAGAAATAAAAGACAAAGACCAACGAGGTTAGAAGCGCCAATCAATCAGGACCAGAGGGAAAACAAATAGAAAAGAAGACTGCCAAGTGTTGAGTCGTATATACTATACAACCCAACATTGTCATCAGTTGATTTTCAATAAAGGGGCCAAGACAATTCAATGTGGAATGAATATCTTTCAACAACTGGTACTGGAATAACTGAATATTCACATTCAAAAGAATGAATATGACCAGGTGCAATGGCTCATTCCTATAATCCCAAGGAGGCTGAAGCAGGAGGACTGCTTGAGCCCAGGAGTTCAAGATCAGCCTGGCCAACATGGTGAAACCCCATCTCTACTAAAAATACAAAAATTAGCCGGGCGTGGTGGTGTGCACCTCTAATCCCAGCTACTCTGAAGGCTGAGGCAGGAGAATCACTTGAACCCAGGAGGCAGAGGTTGCAATGAGCTGAGATGGCGCCACTGCACTCCAGCCTGGGTGGCAAGAGCGAAACTCCATCTCAAAAAAAAAAAGAAAAGAAGGAATGAAAAATTAGCCAGGCATGGTGGCCTATGATTGTTGTCCCAGCTACTCTGGAGGTTATGCTGAGAAAATCAATTGAGCTCAGGAGGTCGAGGCTACAGTGAACCATAGTCCTGCCACTGCACTCCAGCC